CCGTCACGTTCAGAATTGCAATAGGTTTTAAATACATCCACGTGTATCGTCACATTCGTACGAGGATTCTACAGATTGGCTATCGATAAATCATCATCAGCCACAATGAACAGATTTTTTTCATAAATAAATATTTCACTATTTATGCTTCTTTTGCTTCGTTCTCCTCAGCTCAATCTACAACTTATCTAAAGTTGACATAACGAACAATTAACCAAATAACTCACCCATCAAGCACTTCACCTATCCAAAATCTTATATCAACAATCACCGCCACAAAAATTTAAAACCACAAAAAACGAATACAGAACGGTGCAGTTTAAAAACTGTAGATGGATGACGAATGAGTAAATTAAACAATTCAAGCGAATAACTTCAAGTCTACTCATTCTTCACAACAACAAGCAGGGCAACATCAAATCAAACCAAATAAACACGTTACTTTTTGGTTGATCATATATATTATTTTGTCGATCATAAGTCCCAAAAGCTGATCGCATCTGATGACTAACACCAAGGAATGACAAGAGGAAAGTTGTGTTGATGATGGGCTGCATAAGTGAGAGAGAAGTTATTGTATGCACATGAATAAAGTGATAGATAAATGAGTGAATAAATAAATGAGTTGAAATGAATAAAACAAAAATAACATTGCTGGAGAAGCGAGTGATGAATGAATGATCAGATAAATATTTGCTTGTTTACTTTCCCACTCAGTGAAACTGATTACTGGATTAGGTTTGTGGCCTATTCATCCAGCAAACCTAGGATAAACTCTATCTGGAGCTAGACTGAGTTGACTGGTTGATTGGAGAGAGGGAAAGATGACGGATAGATTTGAGCCACTGTTTGTGATTATTCGATTCATTTGCCTGTCACGACATCTATGTATGCATTATTCATCCATCTATCGCTTTTATTGACTAAAACAAGCAATAAACAACAAGAAAACGAAAACAACAATAATAACAACATCAAACAAAATCAACTCCTTCCCAAATGTAGCACACAACAAACACTCAAATAAAAATTATCGATTATTCAACGAAACAATTCAGTATTATGCATGCATATTATACTACTCGCCGTTCGTTCACTTTTCCACCCCACCAAACAATCTTGTCGTATATTCGACTGTTACAACAACAATAACAATCAATTATTGACGCCACACAAAACTCAGTGAGTAACACCGCGTTTATGGTTTATTCGCACGGCTTAATGCCTCTTCTGTAGTCTTCAAAAGCAAATACCAAATCCGCTCATGACGATGACAATAATCATAATAATAACATTATAAAGTAATAATTAGTTACAGCAGCAGTACTGTTACAACTAATATTGATATAAATTTTGACTGCAGCTCGCTCGTTTCACTGCAAACTAAAACGTTCATAAGCCATTTAATAAAAGCTTTTGTTCATACGTATGTACACATAAGACAGGATCCATACATCCTCTAAATCCATCTGTTCACTCATAATAACCAATAACAATATATCGATTCCACTGAAGCATTATTTACCAACTCACAATTCCACTCATTCTTGACTACAAGAGAATTCATCATTCTGATACAAGAGGCTAATATACGAGCATTTATTAGCTCTGTTCAGAACTGATACACTTTCTCGATAACAATAATGCACTCTTTCAAACGACAACTAACTTCGCCTCTTATTCAGCAAGAAATTAAGCATATCTACCTTTATAATAACATATCAGTGAATTTGTCATATGCTATTAAGAAAATTTTTGTTGTCGCTACTGAAGATAATTAAGATGATGACATAATCAAGCACAGTAGTTTATTCACCCATTCGCTTAGGCTACGAGTGCCCATCATGTTGCAATCAATTAAAATAATTAGTTTTACGACGAGCTAATACTCTAACAAGAGCCAATAAGCACTGACAAACATCCCAATGCTCCAATTATTCACAACTGAATCCACTCCTTTTTGTTCTTTCCATTTCGTTACACATAAACGTGCAAACAAATGACTCAGCTTAATTGATGCAGCAACCAATTGTATGATTATCTCCATTTCACACAAAAATATGCAATATGATTCAGTGTGCGAAGTCGCAGTTAAACTGATACAGTCAAAAGAAATAAGCCTAAATGTCGCACAAAGTGAATAAGACTGGCAATAATGATGGTGGCTGGTCGTAGTCGTCGCTATCGATCAAACAAAAACAACAAGTTCAGTAGCAATCTGAAAAACGAATGAAAGAAACATTTCTAGACGGATGTGCATCGCTCATACCGAAACCATCAAAAAAGGCGACTTTAACCCTAACGGAAGTCAACAGCAATAGCTGCTGCAACCAGTCAACGATGTGAACGACTCATTCAGAAAGATGAAACGAGGATGATGAGTTGTGTTAACAAACTAAACTGAACAAAAGTTGTGCTCTAACCAAAAGAAGAAGAAGAAAAAAAAAAGAAATAAGATAGAATGGAATGGAATGTTGAAATAAAATGGAGAATTTCGAGCGAGAGAAACAATTTAAGAATTGAAAATGAAACCGATTTCACCATCAGCAACGCGCATTCATTTTTAGCAAACTTTTCAGTTGGGATGCATCGAAACATGCAAAAATAAGTTTTTGGAAAAGAATGCGATTAGATGAAAATGAAAAATGAAATGGAATAAATTCTCAGAAAAATCAGACAAACAAGCGAGCAAACAATTGATCACTCGAACAATCCCTATGCTACATGTATTCGTACGAATGTAAATGTGAAACATAATCAACAACGAATAAGATGTAACCGTGATGGTTACTGATTCAACGGCCAACTAAGTTGTACAACCCGAAAGCAATCATAATAAAAAGATGCTGATGAAGCAGTCAATTTAAAAGGACAGATCAATTCATTATGAGAGAAGTCCGACAAGAATCTATTGTAACTTCTAACTGTAAACACCTTCCGAAATGATAATAATAATTTTAATGATTATAATAACAATGCTAAGAAGATGATGGTGATAACACTACTGATAAGTGAGAGTTAGAAGTATATAGGTGAAAAGGTATTAACACAAAAAATCATTCCTTATATTCACATACACACATAAACACGCACACATGACACTTCACATCACAACCTTTCTCAAAATAACTAAATTCTTGACTTGACTTTCACTCACCTTAACTCCTTAACAACAAATCACTCAACACATACTTAACTGCCACCTACTCACCTACTGCATACATCCCAATAACAAAACACTAAAAATAACTGAAACAGACGAGAAATTGACGGTAATGCGAAAGACATTTCAAATGTGTTGACAATTGCAACTGATTCATGCAGCAGCTTTTTGGCTATATCGAACAGTCACAAACAAACTTATAGAAGTAAACAATGGATACATACATATTTCATACAGTATTATACTATCAAGCATCAATCCAATTGAATATAAAGTAATGTGTATTTGACTAGCCAGTACACAAACGAAATTCTTACAATAAAAATCTAAGGAAATTTTGTTGTTATTTGCTCCTCTCTTGTTCTTTTCTTATCATAAATAAGGTGCAATCATAACGCTAGATGAATGCGAATTACACATGTTTCATTCATCTTGTTTTGTATGAATCAAAAAATTTAAAGTTTACATATAATCAAATCAAAGTAAATGGATAATTGCAATAGTTGCCTGCATACCCATAGATAGCAGACGACATTCATGATGCTGCCACAATCAAACTTTAACTTTTCAAAAGCGAACAAATACATCCACAGACACAAACCAATACCACCGGCAACAACCACAACGCAATACATTATACATACCACATCATTCATTCCCTAGATTGCAAATACTCAAAGTTTTTACGTCATACTAAAAAAAAGTTTTATCTGTAATTAAAAATTTCTTGATTCCTGTTCACTCATTCATCGAATCAAATCAAAACGCGATGATTGCAGAATAAAATTTAATTATGCACATCACCATCCAAATAATCACAGTTTTATTGTTTTTTATTGCTGAACGAATGATGTGAACTACAACTGAAAACGAACTTTCATTTCATGAAACCATGCAATGCATTCAAGTTGAACACACTCTTTCTCGAAAAAAAAGGAACAAGAAAAAGAGGGAATGTGACCAGAAAGATGAGTGACAATAGCAAGATTATGATGTTGCTGCTGCTGTCTAGCTCTGCAAGAAGAAAATGAAGACGGAATAAGATAGGGAAGACTGAATTCATCAGTTCATACTGACTGAAATGGTGAATGCAACCCCTCTGGCAATCCAACCTACCAACCAGACTACGTAGTAACAGCAACAACAGCATTCATCCAGTTCAGTGTTTTGATTGCTCTGATTCAATTATGAGATAAGAGTAGAAAATTGGAATAAAGAAGACATCGGTTCGATTTGTCTACATGCGCAGATTGGCAGTATTTTCTTGAGAGTAATCACCACGTTCATAAATACATGAAATGCTCAACTATTAGATACGACTGGATCCAAAATAGGGCATTAGTCGCTCGCATACAGGAACAGATGCATATATGGTAGATTGCGGAAGTCCAATATAACACCATATGAAATAACAGATACTAAGCTGAACACAATTTCATTTCAACTCTTTTCAATCCATACAACAATTCGAATGCCGATGCGCTGACTTTACATGAAGTTTAAACTTGCAACCGACTGATATTTTCATAACTTTCTTCAATTTTTCACTGTTTGATTCCATTAAGCAGACTATCTTTTATATCTCATTCACTATGTATGAGGACGCACTGCGAGGTCTATGCACGGGTACAGGTATTCTTTTTTTTTAATTTTATGCAACATCATCATCGTTATTATTGCCGAATAGCATGTCACTACCAGTCATCTCAGATTACCACTATTGCCCATTTGCAGCACTGACGGCACGAATTTTCTTCACGAGAATAGCACAATTTTCAACGAATGTCACAATAAAAGACAAGAGAGTTCATGAGGGATTATTTCATAAATCAAGCAACTAAGTAGACATAAAGTGTAAACATAAGAAATTTTTCAAAAAACTAGCCAATTCATTGGTTGAAATATGTGAACTGTTGATAGAATCAAACGAGCCCTCTTCATCACCTTTGAATATCCAATATACTCGTGCAGCTGGATTCGATTCCGGTGGAGTGCAATTACGTTGGTACGCGTCACCAAGCTCCACCCGAACCACTTCTGGTTCAGCTTGTGGAAAATATCGTATCCCTGAAGAAGTGTTGATAAATGAACGATATGAGGCAACTGGAGACGATAAGTAATGAGTAAAGGAACCTTTTAGTTTTCTTAGAAAAGTAAGTTTTTTAGTAATTATAAAATTTGATAGTTCAAATCATCAGTCATTATAGTTTAACAGAAATCAGAACCATCACACACATCATTCAATGAATGAAAAGTTATGAAAAATCGCAGCAAAGATAGATAAAGGGTGGAAAAATATTGCGAAAGCGAAGCGCTAGTGTGTGGACGCTAGCAACAATATGATATAAGATTAGGTAAGTTTTTCTCGACTAAATGAAGTGTCAGTGAGATATCCGCTGCTGCACAAAACAAATTACATCTTCATATCAGAATTAAATTATGAAAAACATAAACGAATTATATATGAATGAAAGAGGACCACAGCAATAGCAACAATAACAACAGCTAACAAGTTTGCTGGAGTCGAATTTTTTCCGATACAGCCGTTCCGTTATCATTGGTTGCTTCGCACTGATAAAGACCCTCGTCGGCGGCTGTTAATTTTGAAAATACGAACGAACCCTCTCCTGGTACTTGTGCGACTCGATTCGAGTACATATTCAAATTGAATGGTTTACCATTCTTTTTCCATTTATAACTGCAACACGCAAACATCATTGATTCACCGTGTCGCAACAATATTTTCTATTAAACATTCCTTCAATGAAAGCGCTGTGTGACGAAAACGTCGTCAAAACCTGCGGCTTTCACTGACTCAGATTAAGTCTTTGGAGGAAGCTTGAGCAGTTCGAATTCGCGAAGGCATGCATGTAACACTCGTTCTTCCAATCTCACATTGTCGTTCGTTGGAATATCAATTAATACGAAAAGTTGCCGATAAATTAAATGTTGGCATACATGGGTGAAGGATTGCCTTCAGCTTTACATCTGAGTGTTCGCTCTTTCAGGTAGTCTAGGTTTTGCCCGTTAGAGGCCTGCGTTGATTCGAGCGTGAAATAAATTACTGGCTCGTTTTGTTCGTGCACAAAATATGGTGGTGTTGGAATCTTCGACCTATCCAGCTTCACATAATCTAGATCACCGCCATAAGCTGAAAATTATTTAATGGCAATAAATCACCGTAACATCTATGGCAATAAAACATGAATAATCATCACAACTTTATTTTCAATACTATTCGCATGATTTTGGTAGCATAGCGGAAGGCACTATCTTTTCATCATTATTACTATTGTGCCTGCTAGGAAAATTCAAATACAATCGAAACAATAAAATCACAAATTATCAAATTTGTCATAATATTAGTGGTATTACAATGATGGCAGTAAGACCTATCGCGTAATCATAATAGTGTAATAATAACAGTAATAATAATCAGAGATGGGCACGTTAACGAAAAAAGTTAGCGCGCTATTCGCTAACGCTAACATCGCTAAAAAAAAATAGCGCTGCGCTAACGCTAATCGTTATAGCTAATTTGGAATTTTCTCTCCAAATTTGCAATTGAACCACTTATTTGTAAGGGAAAAGTCTCATTGCGGCATTAAATAGTTAAAAATTTTAATTGAATCATTCAACAACACTCGATAATCATTAGTCATTAATAATCATCGGTCAATAAGTCAATAAGCCCCACAAAATCATCAGCCACTAATAATGATCAGTTTGTTAATTATATCAAAATTCTCGCTCAATTCGATGTCGCAACAATGTACAGTGCTATCATCAACCACACATCCATCCAGTTAACATTTCCTCGATGTTTCTTTCTTCCTACTACTTCGCGATATCTCATTAGTTCTCTAAGATAATGACTAACTACCTGATCGCATTGCACACATCCATCATCTCCTGCATTTTAAATAATAATGCCCTTCAAATTTCTCCTATCAATGACCGATGATAAAATTTGGTAAACAATTATCAACAACAACAACAACTAGAACAATAACGATAACAACATGAAATTCGAATCTTTTGATGAAATCGTATTTATTTTATTTCTTTACCCTACTCATTCGCATGTGCGCATTGCAAAAGATTTGTTTGCGTAATCTATATCCCATGCAGTTCTTTCATCATCGCTTCTTTTATTGAACCCGTGTATGTTACAACAATTTACGATTCATCATGTTTTATCTCCTCTCGCCACTCACTAATCACGACACAGTCACATAGCATAATGAACTGAAACGGGATGGTAGTGCTGCACCAAAAGCAAACATCGAACTATGGTTGAATACTCAACATCGAATCCTTCGAGAGGGTACGACTACGGTGGGCTTGAATTTGATGCAGTGCTACAGCGCAAATTTGTATTTACATACCTTAATGGTGGAAGATTTATGCATTCACTCGCAACGTACGGTTAGCGGATTAGCGGAAATAGTCCGCTAATCCGTTAACGTCTGTGAAAAATTAACTTGCTAAACCACTATCCAACGATAATAATTCCGCCATCGCTAAAAAATTCCCTAATTGAACACGTTAACGCGCTAATCGCTATCGCTAATTCCCTAATAGCGGATTAGCGCACTAATACCCATCTCTGATAATAATAAAAATAATAATAATAAATGTTATAATAATAATAATAACAATAATAATTTCTACAAACCCTTACCATACGAGAACATAAGCAACGATAGAATGAACGAAATAATGGTTGCTGTTCTTCTTTTTCTCATGAGAGCCATAATGATGGCCTGAAAATAGATAACAAACATGAATTCAGCTGAACATGAATAAAATTTGAATAAGATGGCACATTAACCGTCGAAATGATTCGATGCATCAACAAAATTCGACTATATAAATATGTATATTCATCATATCGTCCTTTAACAAACAACATACCACCAAGCCGACGTTTCCCAGGCAAACTTCTTTCATTTAACAACAATTCGACAAATACATTCATAAATTAGTATTTACAAGCGATTATATACAGCATACTTTCAAAAAAAAAATGATTCTCCACTTCCCTCCCTCCCCCAACAGTACAACTTATTCTCCTCCCTCCCTATTCCCTCCGCAAAAAAAAACTCGGGAAATCTAGAGCTCTTTTTCTCATTCTCAAATGAATCTCTCCACGAAACACTCGAAAATATTACATTCTCAGTCTTTCTTCATCGAAAAACTACGGTACACAAATACGCGTGAATATATGCACAAATACGAAACATACGAACACGGAAGCAACTAAACAAAACAAAAAGCAAAATAAAAAATTCCACATCTAACGAACCAACAAATTGATCATATAACCGCAAATCAATTATCATCGTGTCCATTTCACGCAAATATGGTGCAAAAGCAAAAACACATAACAAACACTATTCTGTGTTCAAGAATTTGACGACTTCTCGGATTAAACAAAGCCATCTACAGTAATAACGATAATAATTCAATAGAAATATTGATTAGCACATCATGACGAGACGAGATAGACTCGCAATTCTCAAAAATAAGCAAAGCTAAACAGACGTTCGTTGCATGATAATAACAAACGAGAAATACTTTTAAATGAGATGACAATGACGTTTTATTACTATTATTATTATTATTATTATTATTATTATTATCATCGTTATTGCTAACATACTATACCATCCACGTCCATATACAGTACTCAACAGCAGAAGCCAACAAGAAGCAATTAATTTGAGGAGCTGCAAACAAAATGAATGAATGAATTGAGAAGGAAGAAGCGCAGACACTTCTCATTAATAAGCTTATTGTAATCATAACACTATAAATAATTAATACTATTATAACACAATGACATTCATTCATAAACTAATTATTTGCACTACATTGCAACAAATACACTTAAGAACAATATTATTACTAATGACTATAGAAGTAATATTATGATATCAACAGTATTAATGGTCAGTCAATTACAACCATCAATTATAATAACTATAACAGTGATAATAATAATAATAATAATAATAATTATTATTATTATTATTATTATTATTATTATCATTATTATTACTATTAAAATTATTATTACTATTAATATTATTATTATTATCATTGTTATAGTCATATTAATAATAATAACAATAATAATATTAATAATTATAATAGTAAAATAATCACAATAATACTAATTTAATTTATAAATCGCTCGTTGTTAACGATTATGCACGGTGAATGTCATATGGCGTTCTTCTTTCCTAATCTACAATACTGCTATTATTTAGAAGAAAGCCTTGGTAAGCATTCAACGTTTTTAAAATCATAATGACAATACCACAAAGAAATGAGACTGAAAAGTGCAAAAGAAGAATTTTAGCACAAAACACGACCGACTTAATTACCGTTCCAATCGCCTTAATTTCGATTCTAAGCTCAAACTTAAACATAACCTTGAATCTGAATCACAGCCTTACGAGAGATTTAGTCGATTCTATTCAAAATAACATCTGCAGTAACCCTGATTCTCAACTTCAATCGATGAATTCAAGCGATTGCATAAGTAAATAAATTTAAAAATTATATAAACAAATATATCTATGTATGTTTACTCATTTACTTGTTCATTTATGATAGAACATAGCCACATACTTGAACGGCACAAAATAACAGCTGCAAAGCTTTTTATATTAACAACACTAATGTTCATAACGGTGAATTAATGGCTGAGTTTCAATTAGTAAAAATAACGGGAAATGAGCAGTTGAGTGGGTCAGTTATCAGTAATGACATTAAGGATTGAACTTGAGGAAACTGAATCATGAAACAGAGATTGTTGAATGCGAGCAACTTCAGCCTAGCCTGGTTTAGCAGGCTAGGCTGCCCATACAACGAAATGAGATAGAAAGCAAGAACGAGCAAATAAGCGCACGAATATGTATGTATATTTTTGAATGCACAATTTAAAAAATACACGTCATAAATACAACCAAATAAGTGAGTAATGAAAACGATGTGGATGGCGAGTCATCAAACGGTCATGAAAAATGAACAACAACGAAAATAATAACAAAATGATGAAATAAGTTCGATGACAAATACAGATTTAAGCGCTCAAACTTAATCATTCATACTTTCATGCGTTACTAACGTACACTGATGTGCAATTTTGTTCTTTCATAACGGGTGATTTCATAACAGATCATTTTATTTAAGCTGACAGAAAAATTTCTTGTTGAAACGGCATAAAAGGTGATGCGTTCAGCAATGTTTTCATGGTGCCAGCAACTATTCCATTCCTCTGTTGTTTCATGCGATGATTTCATAACTTCACACTTCATGCCTTTCCCTTTAACTTATTTTCACCGTCCTCATTCCATTCATCAACATTCTCACTTTATCACATCACTGAAAGCGGCTGATCAATCAATGAAATCCAGATGTATGATATACTAGAGACATTTCAGTCATCAAGGAAGTTCGCTTCTAATTCAATTCCGAACAAATGATACAAATGAAAATCACAAGATCACAATTTCATTCATCAACATTTCCAACAACAACATCAGCCTCAACACCCCACCCGTCCATCCATTAATCCTCATCATCTCTTTTTATTATCTAACCATAAATCTTATTTCTAATTCTTCCAATAAATCCATTCACTCGATTCATTCTGGTCAAACGGAAAACGCCCATTTAATTTTGGCTGCTTGCACATTTGTTGGATTGAATTCGCCTAGTTTTCAGCCGTTCGGTTCATTATGGTGTTGGTGTTGCTGATTCTGCATCGTCTACTTGCAGTGTTTCCGTCTGTTTGGCAATTAGAAAATATTCTAAATAATGCACAACGAGGCAAATTACACAACAAAAAAAAGAAACGCACAAGGAAAGAGGATGTGAAAGGAAACTGTGAAATAAAATCACTTCGATTCCAAGCAAACGAACGAAATAAATCGCTTCTGATTAGTGCTAACAATAAAATATGAATTGGATCGAGATTTACTAGTTGATTATACATTGCTTAATGAACGTAGTCCAACTAATTCCAAAATCAAATAAAACTACTTCCAATTTAATGTGATTGAATGTGCATATATTGATTTTATTGCACTTCAAAAAGCTGACTACTTTATATGAATATTTAAATAAAGAATTCAAT